CTCCTGCGGCTCAATATTGAAGTCAGCCACCGTGAACAACAGGCGTCCGAATTAACGAGTTTACTGTTTTGGTTAACGCCCCGCTGCAATGGCTTCGAAACTTGCACATATTTATTCATTCAGTTATGTATTAGCTTTGGAATGACAATGCACTAGGTGAATATTCACCCCTTGGGATGCACAAAAGGCTGACTTGACTTGTGTTATCCATTATCACTGAAACATATGTATCATTCATATTAAATACCTAGTTCTGTTCACTAACTTGTGATAAATAAAAGACGACTCTACGCTGTGGATGCTCTCCCTCTCTGTCCCCCAAAATTGATATCACCGTTGATGTTTCTATCTGATATTTAATGTTCATTGAAAATGCCGATGACAATTGCACGTGTTTCTAACCATTGTTAACTATCACCTTCCCTGTGGTTTGCACCTTCTTTCTTGTGTATTCATCCATTTTGCAGTATCCCGAGTGTGACAAATGAATTAGTTGAGTTTAATCGAATCCTTGAAGATTTGGATGAATTGAACTGCAAACTTGTTGCGGTATGCGCGGATTCCGTGGAATCAAATTTTGCTTGGTATCATGCACCGGCAGCCAACAACGGTCTGGACGAGGCAATCGAATTTCCGATTATTGGTGATCGATCCATGAGCATTTGCCGTTCCTACGGCGTTGCTGTGGAACATGAAGGATGTGCATTAAAGTGAGTCTCATAGGTTCCATGGGAATAGTTGCCGAAATTGAGGAAAATGGTTTCATTCTACGGATAGAGTACAATGAATAAAGACACAGAAAACTCCCGGTGCTTGAATTCCCATGGTAACATGAGGCGTTACCTAGGTTGCTTATGTTGTCTTGATTGGTTATTTTCGCTACGGAATTTACCGTGGCGCATTCCATTATTGATTGAACAGTTGCATGTTTCCGTATGCTTGACAAAAAACCCGGAAAATATGGGAAACGTCTGAGGCTTGGTGATGAGCGAATGAAAATTGTTTTTCGACGCCGATTTAAATTACACGAAGATATTTTCTAATTTTAATTCCGGAGGACGACAGTGTATCATTGTATTATTGTATTATAGATGACTTGTGCAGGCTACTATGTCTAAATTTCAATCAAAAATGTGTTCACCGTTAAAATGAGATAAAAAAATGAATTCGAAATTCGTATAGGACAATGATAAAACTTAACTAGCTGTTCATTTTTGTAAGTTTAAAATTAGTTCGTTACGGATCCTCACCGTGTCAGTGAGAATACGAGCCAAATAGGGAACAGTTGAGTTGCGATAAATGTTTATGCGGGAGGGTGAGCAGCGAAAATTGGATCGAGTTGAAGCGCGGGAACGGCAAGCAGATAAATCGGGATTTAGTGGATGACTGGGGTCATTGAGTATCTTATGAGCAAAGTTCTCACATGAAGCGATATGCAAATTACACAATTTTGTGATCAGAGTGTATAAAGGAATAAAAGAAACACGGCGGATAATAACCAAACTGCCGCGTAGGGTATTGAAGTTCTTTCTCGGTAGAGCAGGGAAAATAACGGGTGAACAATAAAGTATGATAGAGAAAATGCATTGATAAACAAAGGGACACACAGTTTCATGCCTGACGCAAAATTGACGAAGCTTGCGTATTCGAAAAGATAAGCGACGCAGTCTACCAGCACAAGCAAGCACATGAGAAGACCATCGTAGATTGCTATCTGTAGTGACTCCTTGGCATTTGGTGGTATGTGTTCTGGTGATGGGTAAGGAATTGATGACTGATGGATTCAGGGGGTTTTCGGATCAGGAAGGACTAAAAATGCATTCAGAGCATTTAGAATTATTCAGTCGGAGACCGGATTGGTTGGAAAATGATTGAACTTGCAACAAACTGTCGTAAAATGATTATCTGCCCGATTGGTTTGAGATGGCTAGACATACAACCACATCATTGGCACGCTTGAAGGTCTTGGCTGGTGAGATTGAGGGTAAGTCACTGATGAAAGTAGAAAATAGGTAAGGGGAGAGCACAGCATACTGAAGAACTCCAGAATTATTCACTAACGGTTTTAATGTAGTGCCGTTTGCTTTCGTCCTTTTTCCTTCCTGTGAAATAATCTTTCAACCATGACAACAAGTTGGTGGGGCAACCGAATGACTCTAACTTCTGCAGGAGAAGAGAGTGTAGAACGGAATCAAAAGCCGAGGAATAGTCAAGGAAAAAACAACGAACCGACTTTTGATAACTATCTAAGGACTTGCAAATAAAGTACACCATTGAAGAGACGGCATCCAAAGTGTATCTATTTGGCTTGTACGTAAACTGGAGGGGGTCATCGGGAACAATAATACCAGATTGCAAGCGGGCGAGAATAGCGCGCCCTGCACATTTAAGCCCGGAAGAGGGGATGGCGATAGGACGAAAGAGTTTAGATAAAATGCTAGATAAAGAGGATTTAGGATTGGAAACAATGGTGAGAGGGCTCCAGGAATCCGGAATCGAACTTGTGTAAATTGATTGGTTAATAAGGGACGTAAACATCTTTGTGACTGAGCCAGCGCCATATTTGAGCCATGCCGAAGATAAACCATTGGGGCCAAGTGCGTTTGTGGTTTTCGTAGTTTCAAGGAGATGATGGACCTCCTCATGGGTGACTGGGTCTATGGTAGATAGGTGATCTGTGGGGGTACGGAGACGAGATCGTTCGAAGGATAAATGAATGCAGCATTGAGGCTGTCCACGTCAATAATTTTGTTCGTTGTTCGCTTCATCTGTCTGCAAAGCAATCTGATCCCTTGCCATAGCCGTCTTCCATCTCCAGCTCCCAGAACCTGCATTGGGAATGAAGCATTCAGCCTCTTAATTTCTGTGCTGATTTCTAGTGTAAGCTGTTCGACAGTGGCTGTTTGGTGCATCCTGTACGCGAGTTCTTTTTGTTTTCTAATAGCTTTTAGCCGCGAAGAGCATATTCTGCTAGTGTGAACAACATCTGTCTCCACAGGACTGCATAGATTGAAAACCACGTTAGCTGTTCCTGTAAAATGTTCAACTGAATAGGGAGATTGTTGAACGGAAAACCATGACGAGATGATAGCAAGAGGTTTCCTCAGGAGTCTGTCGGCTGAAAGACTCTGAATTTTGATGTTCATTTGTTTTGTTTGAATAAAAGCGGGGTATGTCAATCGAGAGTAAAAGTTTGGTCTAAGACATCGGAGACAGTGGCCACTAGACGAGATTGCCGCCATGAGTTGGAGAGAGAAGATATTAGGATGATTAGTAATAAGCTTGTCCAATACAGCATCTCCTCTGTTTGGCGTTCAAGAAAGATATGACAGACCGAAAGTAAGTAAAGTTTGGGTTGATCCGTGATCAAAATCACCAACAATTAAAATTAAATTACCGTCTACTAAGGGAGCGATGAAAGGAATAAATGCATCGTAGAAAGAGCTAATTTCAGTTTGTGAGCAAGAAAGGGGCAATATATAGATTTCTAATCATTGTGCTTCGATAAGGGAAAACCTAGGTCGACATGAAGCAATTAGGCAGTCAATAGCATACGAGGAGAAAGAGAACAACGTTTCGGACTTGCCGCATCAACGGTAGATAATGTAGATTATTACACCGCCTTAGAACTTCTTTTAACTTCTTTCTCTGTCATGTAGAAAACTTGCAAAACCAGATATGTTGACCAGCGAATCGTCTATGTTTTGGTTGAGCCACGATTCCTGCATGCATATCACCCACGTATTTGTTTGCACGCGATAAGTTATTAGATCCGTGAGGTTAGACAATTGGCTAAATAGTGAGCGAATGTTGGAACTGCTTAATAAGGGAACGGTCATCCTCACAGGAAGAATGTGTGGAAGCGCAGTTTGCCACTCGGCACACTTTCGTTTTTTGCTCGGAGCATAAAATTCATTTCGGGCAAAATCATGTGAGTTGGATAACACAGAATAATAATAAATATTCTTTAGGCGTAGTAATAATTTCCCGGGATATGAACATCGAGAGAATATGGTAGAAACCAAGTTATAAATTCCAATGCGATAGTGAACACGAATGTAACGCAGC